AAAAAAGATAACTGGTGCTGACATACCTGGCGAAGCCTGTTGTCCAAAAAATCCAGCCATGTTACCCAGATCCTCGAAACGGTTGACGTAGAAACGCCAAACCTGTACGAAAAACAAATTTGCAAAAAATGCGCATCAGTAATTTTCTGCAGCACAAACAAAAGAACCTACGGTTGCAATGAAGATGTCATTGCAGAAGATGCTTAAACGGTACTGAATTCCTTTTGTGTAAGCACCTTGTTACTTCCAGTCATTTTCATTATAAACGATAAGTGAAAAAGTGCTGCATACCATTGCTGATATTTTGAGGAACGTACGAATACACAGCATGCTGCATTCCCCCTATGCACAAAGTAACTAACAAAACCAGCTACGCTCGGCAGGAACACTGAAATTTGGCTTAAACTTGAATTTCTCAGTGAATGAAAGTTCGTTTGCTCCCGGACAAGCACTAAGGGTATTACAAAATACCAAATCTTTTGAATAAAGCAAACTCGTATTTTGTCTTCATGGCCCCTTTCGGGCTGATTGGGTTATGCTTGTTTCCCTCACAGCATATTCATAAATAACATTATACACAGTATGCCCGCGTAAATGTATTGGCATGGTAACAGAGTTTCATTAGTCACTCCACTTGGACCTTATGCAAAGGCAAAAATGAGTACTGATGCAAAAAAAAAAACACTTCAACGTTGGCAGCGTACCTGTACGCAAGGTCAAGGCCGTCAAGGCCCAGCCGTAGCCTCATCAGGACGAGCACAAGCTGTGTCTTCAAAGGCAGGATGAAGTTCCGGTCCTCGTTCTCCGTTTCCTTCATCTGCCAGAACCGCAGCTTTTTCGCATCTGGTTCAAGTAGGGACCAAAAACTGTCGAAGGACTTTCTGGATGTAAAGCCAGTGTAGTACCGCAGCTTCTTTTCATCTTCTACAAGGGCTTCATACGTGATGTCAATCTTTTGTGTAGCTTCAGCCTTGCACCTCTTGACTTTCTTCTGCATACAGGATAGCTCAAGCCGCAAGCACCTATTCTTCTGCTGAAGGCGGTCACATAGCTTTTTTGCTTCAGCGTGGTCCTGTTGAGAGCGTTTTAGCTGGCGGTTGAGCTCTTCAACATGCGCGTAAGCAGCTTCAGCCTTTTCTGCTAGCTCAGTTATTATATTATTTTGGCAAGCAACTTTCTTGGCAAGCTGGTCATAGCTTGACTCTTGGCTGCTGTAGGCATGGTCCATGAGTAGAGTGCTTTGCTGTGCGGTGTCTTCACTGTCGCTGCTGCTACTAGTGATGGCAGAGCCTGAGACTTCTGGGTCGTGCTGGGGTGCCACAGTTGGACTGTTGGGAAGTTCCGGCTGTCAGGGGAAAATGAAAAAAGAAAGCCATGTGTTTCAGTGATTTTTACAACACACTGTGCAGCTGCAGGTGAGATTTCCAATACTGCATTTTATACCTTCACACGAGTTTAAGTTTACTCGGCATCATTGCTTTTTTTACGCAGTAGCGCAACCCTTAAGTAGCCATTGCCTGCATTAAGCCATAACAAAATATTCAGTGGTGCATATGCAACAACGTAATGCTATTTCTCTGCATTGCTTGCGCTCAAATTACCTGTGTCCTTATGAGTGGTCGCCTCCTTTCCACCTTTTGCGGTCTCAGCGGGAAGATTGTGGGCACTCTGTTCATGTAAGTCTTTTTTCCTCCTTCGAAGTGGGCACCGCATACTCGGTGTCCCGTGGTAGGCGTAAACTTGGAGAACCTGAGCACAAAAAGTTCCAGCATTATTTCATATGACACTGAACATCACCTACTGCGTTTTCAGGTTCCTTTTAAATGTCCAGTCTGCATGCTACCACTGCAAGACAACAGTATCACTTTCTCTTGATTAACGTACAAAAAGTTCCATATCAGTCAAGGGCAAATGACAAATGTAATTTTAATTTTCAGCCTCACTCGACAACGCCACACACAGGTAAATTATACAGCTGTTTGTGCCACTCATCTGCATAGGTGCAGCGAAATCGGCCGCGTGCATGCACCAGATAACTATTTTACGGAAAGGACGAGATTACAGAGGCACCGTTTGCATCGAGGGTGATCCGCGAAAGCTAATCGCCGTTTGGCACAACGAGTTCTGGGTAAGTTGTTGCAAGCGTGCCGTGAAGTACGTTACGTCGTTTCTAAAAAGTAAGGTCTCGATGTACGGTAGAGCTATTAGGAGAGCCTCGTCAATGAGCTTGCCTTCCCCTTATGCCTGCATGCTTGCCACTTGCGTTGTAAAAAAAAAAAAAAAACGCAAGCCGCGTACGCGGTGCTGCACTTGCGCAACATGGAAAACTAAAAGACCTCAGCACTACAACTCGTAATAATAATAATATTAGTACGCAGCGGTAACAAAAAACGCTAGAATAAGGAAGATGCGCTAAAAAATGACCGGCATGCACAACCGCGAACCGCGGCTGAGCTATCCGGTAAGAGTATACGCAGGCAGAGTGAGCAAAGATCATATTCTTTGGTATGCTAAGCTTCATGATTAAACATTCACATAAAAAAAACCACCGCAATACGCTTATTTAGTTTCAAAGCGGCACTATACATTTAATAAGATGTCTTACCTGCCGCCCCGTCCAGCCCTGTTGATACGCTGAATCCACGTCTCCCGAAGCTTTTGCTCTTTAGGAAAGACGTAGAAACCCAAGCCTTTATCCCTTGTGCTGTTGTTGTAGCATCCAGGAACACAGCACGTAAATCCTCCCATCGTAAGACGGCTCCACACGACCGAAAAATCTATCGAAAAGGGAACGCTCAGGCACTTCGGCTGGCTGGTGTGCCCGGACGACTACAAGTACCGGCATGCACCGCGGCTGCCGCGGCAGCGGTGGCGTCGCGAAACTGGCCTGTGGGATCGGTCTATTCGTTGCGTTGTTGTACGTGTAAAAATTTGAGTTGTCATTTTAAGAGTCTTGTGTCCCACATGTGCCTCTTGATGTAGAGGGAACGAAATTCCGATAGACGCGTAGCTAGGTATATGTTGTACTATACTTTGTCTGGTGTTCTGTCGGGTGACCGACGGCACTTGCTTAATTGCGTCGTGTGTTGTCTGTTGTCGAACCGCTCTTGGCAAGTTGCAAAACCATCGACAAGTGCTGAAACCAAGGATGGATTCGTCCTCAGGAATGGGATGTGTTCCCGGAACAGAGTCTGGAGCTGCATCCTCCCTATGGCCCTGGAGGCGAACCTGGAGGGACCTGGCGAACGAGCGCACCTGACATCCGAGCCCCGTGGAAGCAGCTCGTCTTTCCGGCGCATTGTCTGGTGGCGGGGGTGCTGTTATGCCTGCGAGTCCGCAGCAAACGTCCCGCCTCGGAAAAAAAGAAATCTGTGTCAAGGCCAGCACGCGAGCCCGCCTGACGCGATGAACAGCTCAATGGCGTCAACACGTGACGGCGCCTTTCTGTCACCCACGTGCAGTGAGTCACCTCAGCAAGCGAGCCGTCGAGTAAACAACCGGCGTCTTCCTGTCTGGGGGGGGGGGGTGACGCAATGCCTGGCGACGTCAGTCGTTCTTGGGTGCAGCCGCCTGCAGCGCAGCCTCTCCAGATTTGATGAGAAAGAATGACGCGGCCCAGCAGCGACCCCATTGGAGGATTCTAACCTCACGACCAGCGGCGCTTCTGGTGGGACATTTGGGTTGGACCCAGTGCATATAAAAGAAACCCTGCGGCGCATCGCGAGAAGCAGACCTGTGGGACAGCAGACATGTGTGTCAGAGAAGAGAGCTATGTGATAGAGAGTTGAGCTATGTGTTAGCAGACCCATTTGAGAGCAGACCTATGTGTTAGAGAGGAGAGCTCGGCTCTTCGGGTCTCGAAGCTGTCGGCCCCAGTGCCGAATTCGTAACGCCTTTGTATATATGCTGTACATAAACCTTGTTTAACTCACCGTCGTCTCGTCCGCTCGTCTATCAGCTCTGCGCAGAAGCAGTCGCGAGCTGGGAAACCTACGCTACCAAACGGCTGGTGTCCTTCCCTGCGGAGTTCGAAGCAGTGGCGCCTTCGGGACCGTGTTGGCGTCGCCATCTTTCGAAATAGTGGTTGCAGCGGTGAGATTCGTAGCGCCCTTCGGAACGTCGTCGGAGGCGCGCTTCGCAACAGCATGCAATAAATCTTAAATTTGGTGCTAATGATGCGCCACCTAGTAGTCAGGTGTGTACTTATGAATGGAAGATTCACATATGGTGCATGTAATGTGGAAAAAGTTGGAAAACATTTATTTACACAAAATACACTGAGAACAACACTGTGGAGAAGAAAAGCACTAGAAACTATTGCAGGTGTTCTGAGCAATGTTACACAATCTGTGACTCTACTGTACAATGTGTATTTCGTTTCATTAACAGCTGCACTCTGCCTTAGCTCACTGCCTAAAATAAACTGTATTTGAATATACACTAATTACACTATATGCAGATAAATATGAATAGTACGAAAATATTACAGTGTAATGTATACAAGATATAACACACTATATACAAATAGGAAGGCGTGCTCACATACACAGCCATTATGCTTAACACTGTGGCTTCCGCCCACCACTTGCAGGGCATGAACTGCGCACAGTTGCCCGCGAGGCTTTGTTTTTTTTTCGAGTGAAGAAATGTAATCTACATCTCAAAAAAAGTGTACAACCTCAGCTGTTGTTTCTAAAAAGTGCAACAGACAACCTACACTTGCTGACGCTGAGCGGCTGTCGAGCAAAATGCCCTCAACAATCCTCGCGTACACGTCACCGCATGCAATGTTTTTCACCGTGTACGTCTCTACATGTTCTTCAACAATTTTCAGGAGAGCAAGAAGACGGCTGCTAGGTACTTTCAAGTAGCCTCTCGATTTTGTTTGGATCAAGGCAGATGGCTGACGTGTTGTGCTCAACATCGTTTCGATGCATCCTAAAAAATCCAAAGTAGAAAACTTCTTGGCCACATATCCGCCGAGGTAATCCAAAATGGAGTCATTGGTCGAAGGGGGGCCAATGTCCTCCACGCAGTCTGTTGTTGGCTCCAGCAAGACATCGTCCAGCAGAACAGCTAGTGTGTCCACCTGAAATGTGCACAACTTCCTCAATTTTCAAGGTGATAAATAGGAAACTTCAGGACACATACAGGACATATATTGCAAAATACCTGAGTCGTAGAGGGCTTTTTCTTGTCAAAAAGACCTTGCAGAGTGAGAAGCGGTTGTGGCCTGCTTCCGTCAACTGAAGCTCGCTTAGGTGGCCGCACGAGGTTGTTCACCAACAGCATCCGGTATATAAAGAAAAACTGCTGAACAGTTGGCTGGCCCCCGTCTCCTGCAAGATGCCTGGCTATCCCAAAGAAGCGCTGGACAGGGAAAAAGAAAGGTATCTGTACCAAAACACCGTGCCAAAAAGTACCTGAATTACCTCTAAAGGGTCTTGGCCGAGGTTTCCAACTAGAACATAACGGAAGCCAGACTTCAGGAGTCGATCAATCAGGGCCACCGTGCTGTGCAGCGTTATTCTCAGTGCACCACAAGTTGGTTTACTAAGGAAGCACACCTGCCTCTGCTTCGGCAGGCTCTCTATGTATGTGCAGCAATCCTCCAGCCACTTTATGTTCACCTTCAATGTCTGCAATGCAAGAAATATAAACCTTGAGTACACTATAAAAGAAAAACATTTGGGTGTGCGTTACTCGCTCACCGCGATGTGCTCGGCTTCGTTGTATTGCACGTCCTGTGGTCTTCTTGAGTTGAGGCAGTCAAATAGATCGTTCATCTGCTTCGTGAAGTTGTATGTACCTGCGGAGTTATGTAGCTTTTGGCAGCCTTGTTGCTTGCTATAAAACTTCATTGCAGACGCCGTGCTTCCGCTGAAAAGCTGAAAATGATGGCACACTGTTGTTGAACGAAAGAGCTTGCATTGAAATTTGTCTTTTTTGACAAATCATCACCAAAGTTTTGTGTCATTAGTTCACCTGTAAGTAGCCCTATTAATTACTAGGAGTGGTTACTCGCCTGAACAGCAAGCCGGACACTCATCTTCTGGAAGGCGTTCGGGAAGATGTGAGCCCTTGTCAGCTTCGGGACAGCCCGAAGGCCAGCCTGTTGCTCCTCGTACTCCAGCAGGGCAGAGTAGTGGAAGTGATGGACCGAATGTCCTTCCGGTAGCTGCGATCAAAAGGTGAAGCCACTCCTCGCAAAGGGAGTAACCTGACGTAGATACGAATTACTGCTTACCAGAAACTTTTCAACCTTCTGAAGATTGTTCCTTATGCATTCGAAGACATGCGGTGGATCAATTAGTGCCTGCACTGTCCGTGAAGAGTCACATGGATGCTGGAATGAAGTTTGCAGCTGTTTCTGGTCACTGTTTATCCCTGTAAAGAACACATCAATGCAGTTAGTAGTGTACAATTCTTAATTTGACAAATTTAACTCGTGTCCCCAGATAATAACCCAAGCTCCTTAAAGCTGAACGATTTGGTGTTGAATTGTCGCATGTAACAGCATCGACAATAGCGCCAGCGTTCGAAAGGTGCACAATGCACTGGAGCAACAACTTCGCTACTATTGAACCAGGGGCTGCACCGGAGGAACAAAAGGTCCCAACAGTCTGCGACCACCCTCCAAGAAATGGTCGGAAGAGAAAGACCAGGACGTGATCGCCATCTTTCTCACAGTCCGAGGGTCTTGTGTGCTCAGCGAAGTTACCTTTTCCGAGCAGAGCCATGTCTGGCTTCCTAATATTGCACACACTTTCTTACGCTCATTTCATCGAACATCAGGACACCTGTAAAAAAATACATCTTATTAGACATGCACCACATATGAGATATGAAGTCATATAAGGCAGTAGTAAGTTTGTGCATTGTTTCAAACCTCGACGTTCTCGCTCAGGAAGTACTTGCAGCTTGTCTTTGAGAACGGTGAATAGACTGCTGTCAAAACCATAGTCAGCCTTGAGGCTCCTCAGGTACGTGTAGAGGGTGCGAGGGTTGGGCAAGGGAAGGTACTCATTCTCGTGAAGGAATGTATAGACCACTGTCGACTTAATCTTCAGTAGCAGGCTGTCATATATCCATGCTTTTTCGTACCTAAAGAGAGTGCAGGCTCGTTGTGCATTCAGGTAAACCGAGGCTGGTGAAAGAACAGTGCAAGTGCATAACCAGAGCAAGCAGAAAGAAGAAGATGCACGACATGCATCACACCATCTTTCCTTATACTGCAATGCACAACCACCGCTTTTAAAATCGCCTAGTCATTTTAAATATTAACATGCACCCCTACTCCAGTACGAGAGCAACAGACAGCTTGCAATGTGCGATCATGCAAAGCGGGCAATTTAGGATTACTCTGACATGCAATGCTCGCGTGCACTGCTCTTAAAAAATATGCACAAGACAGTGGCACGAAAAAGATGTGCGATTATATTCATAGCTTTGTGGCAGTTATGTGCGACTGAAGATTACCTGGCAGCTTTCGGAGATTTCGCGTTTGCCTTCATGATGCACTGATCGTAAATAAGCTTTTCGCGGGTAGATAGCTTGTCCAGGTTTTGCAAGAGTCTTGCATTTTTGTTGGCCAGGACTCTCATCTTCGCAAGCTGCTTCTGACACCGTTCGAGTCGTTGCCGCGTACTCGAAAGCTGCGCCTTTAGCGCCTGCACTTCAAGAAACGAACACACTGCCTGTTCCATTTGGCAGGCCTGATCTGCGTGTCCGCTATCGCTGGCTGCTGCATCTGTAATACAATTCAATAACACTGTTCAGAAGCACCTCAATGCCACCAGCCGCTAACACAGGGTCATGCGACGGAGGGAACAAAGTAACGCCGCGACTTAACCGGCTCAAGAGCTTACCGTCACTGGCTTCTCCTGCCGAGTCGGTGTTGACATTTTGGCATTCCACTGCTGCGTATTCCGGTGATAATTCGCGCCGCCTCTTCGCTGGTTGCCTCTGAGTCGCAGGCCGTGAACGCGGTTTCGGCTTAGTCAGGTACGCCGGGAGCCCGTCGAAAATTCTTGGAACGGCGTTCGTGCGAAGCCTCGGTCTCTCTCGCTGAAGCGACACGACCACCCCGTTCACGATGTGCTCGTCGGTTCTCACAACGTCGCTAGCATCAAAATGCTTTTCGCACACCCGAACGTTCTTACTTTCGAAGCTGAAACCGCCAGCTTCCAACCGCGGTATAGCTCGCTTCCATTTCTCTCGGAGTTCGGCGCTACTTGGGAAACAGAACAGCGACGCCTTTTCTTTGTTGCTTCGGTATCCGGAGCTGCAACCCGTCACACAGCACGTCTTAGACATTGTTCATTCGAATTTTCATTCCGTCCACCTTGAGCACGGTGCACTGGCACATGAAGTTCGCGTTTCGCTGATGCAGAAACCGCGAGCTGCCACCACACAACGCCTTCGGGATGCCGCCGCGGCCAGTGCGTTCCGCCGAGCGAAGCGGGGCGATGGCCCCCCTAGGACGGCTTGCGCCGCGTAGCGGCCACTCTTGGCACCATATCAAGCTCTCCCATAGAGTGACGGAGAAGTTTCGTGACCAGAACGGTATTAAGAGACTGTGGTATTACTGAACCTGACGCGTACCGTCAGGCCTTGACATCTTCCATGTAAATTGAATTTCGTGTTGCGCACGCGATAATTCCTCATCGTATTCGTAACTTGTATTTCACACCGCATTCTCTTTTTTCTCGTTTTCTTCTTATTGAATCTTTTGCATCTTTTTTGCGTTCCCTGGCTTATTACGTGTATGTTTTGCTTTTCGCCCGTTTCGCTTTTGCCCCTTTCGTTTTTGCTCATTTTCTTATTATTGAATCTCTTTTGTAGTTTTTGTGCGTTGGCTGACTTATTACGTGTATGTTTTGCTTTTTGCCCCTCCCCTTTACAATGCTGTAAACCCTGAGGGTAAAATAAAGAAAGAAAGAAAGGTGGTGGCTTGTACTGATAAGGGCGGCGTAGAGGAAGTACCAGCAGTCGAAGCAGTTGAAAGGTCGCCGATGGTGCGACCACTGCGCGTCTCCATCAAGGTACGGGGGTCATCCACCTCCACCAATAATGTTACGAGTAACTTGTTTACAGATCTATTTACAGCGCACAGAACTCGACGAGCAAGTTGACGCCAGACCAGCATCAAACGAAAAGATAAAGCGACAGCGGAAAAAGAAAGATAAAGCGACAGCGGAAAAAGATTCGAAATTATAAAAAAGCTAATTATGAGGCCATCAACAATGAACTGTGCCTGTTTCTGGCCACTTTTTTACCTAGTTATCTAGAACGCTCCGTCGAAACTAACTGGTTCATTTTAAAAAATAAAATCGGTGAGCTAATAACCAAATATGTCCCCCTTCGGACTGTTTACGCTAACAATAAATCACCATGGTATAGTACATATTTGAATCGATTATCCAATAAGAAAAAACGTTTATTCCGCACAGCTAAACTTCACTCAACACCGTCTCATTGGCTAACATACAAAAACGCTGCAAGCTCATATCTCATAGCACTAAAATCAGCCAAAGTCTCCTTCCTTAAATCCACGCTTCCAAACTTAATACAGGCTAACCCAAAACGCTTTTGGGAGATTATCCGGGGAAATGCTCATAAAAATGGTATATCACTGCTGACAAGTTCTGGGGGCCCTGTACAGGAGCATATGTGTTCTACTCTGCTCAATGAAACTTTCGCTTCGTCATTCTCATCACCTAACCTTCCCGGTCCGATGCCTGAGATCCATCCTACTCAATACCACTCAATGCATCCCATAATCTTCAACTCCACTGGTATCAAAAGCATCATTCAGAAACTAAAATCTAAAGCATCATGCGGGGTAGACGAAATCAATGCAATCTTTTTAAAAAACACTGCCGAATATTGCTCAATCATACTAGAACATATTTACTCGCAATCTTACAACTCGGGTACCTTACCGTTTGACTGGAAAACTGGCAGAGTCATCCCTATTTACAAATCAGGACCATCCCATGACCCACAAAATTATAGACCGATTTCTCTTACATCAGTGCCTTGCAAAGTTATGGAGCATATAATTTACACACATCTGGTTAATTTTCTCGAACATAACAACTTCTTCACAGCTTCGCAGCATGGATTTCGCAAAAACTTTTCCTGTGACACTCAGCTCATAGCCTTCACTCATTTTCTCCACTCTAATCTAGATGGCGGTTTTTTAACAGATTGTATATTTCTCGACTTCTCTAAAGCATTCGACAAAGTGAACCATGCACTGCTACTTCATAAACTAAGCGTTCTAAACATCGACACAGCTGTAATTAATTGGATTCGCGCCTTTCTAACATCACGTGTTCAGTTTGTAGCCGCTAACGACGTTAACTCCTCATTGATTCCTGTTGATTCTGGTGTCCCGCAAGGGTCTGTGCTTGGTCCCTTATTATTCCTAATCTATATTAATGATTTGCCTACTAATGTCTCTTCGAAAATATGCCTGTTTGCAGATGACTGCGTCTTGTATAGAAAGGTGACGGATGCCGCAGACATTTCACTAATTCAGGAAGATCTTAATAACATAACTAAATGGTGTCAATTATGGCGTATGGAATTAAACGTTAGAAAATGCAAAAGTATGAGGATTTCCAGTGCTGAAGTGACTTCCCCTACTTACACACTTAATAACATCCCACTAGAATGCGTAACATCGTACAAATACTTGGGTGTCCATATTACCAATAACCTTTCATGGAAAACTCATATTGATTACATAGCCACCAAGGCCACTAGCACATTAGGATATTTTCGCCGGAAGTTTCCTCAAGCGCCATCTTCATTAAAACTACTACTGTACACAACTTTCATTCGTCCGAAGCTTGAGTATGCATCGTCAGTATGGGACACCGGATATCAGAACCACATAAAATTACTAGAAAAAATACAAAATCGCTCAGTCCGTTTCATTTTAAACAATTACCAAAGAACTGCGAGTGTTACTAACATGAAAGACATTCTACACCTTCCATTGCTATCACATCGCCGAAAACTATCTCGACTCTATCTTTTCCATAAAATCTACTACCACAATTCATATTTACATTCTATGCTTCTTCAGCCACCGCCGTACATTTCATCCCGC